GAGCTGATACTGGGCTTGCTGCAAACATGTCCAATTCTTGACTAATGGTCCATGATGTGGTCGTATGGTTTTGCAGGGCTGATCTCATGTGTCTATCCTCTCTGGCATTAGTCGTGGGATTGCGTTGAGATCCTGCATGCTGTTCAGTATGACCCTTAGCAGTACATTGCGTACAAATTCACATGATAGTGGTTGGATGTCAACCAGTGCGACGGGCGATATCAAGGAACAATAATATATACTTTTGATTGGCAACAATCTTTGCTTCTATTGAATCTCTTATCTTGCTTGTAATCATTTCCTCTTCTTATTCGAGGCATAACATGATATTCTGAGCAAACTCCAACCCTATAAAGTACTTTCCGAATGAGAAATCCACTGTATAACTTTTCTTTTATGCAGTGTTCAGATGTCATTTCTCCTTCCTGCGTTGCCTAAATGCACTTTTTGCATATCCCATTTCTTTCTTTCATATGACCATTTGCATATCGCAACTTCTTCCTTTCATATGACTTTCACGTTCGTCAGATCATTCCTTTCTGGTGTTGCAATTTTAATGGCCAGCAATGTATTAGTTTTTAAATTTAACACGGTGTTACATTTTATCATATAAATTACTTTAGATAGCTGAAATTTATGAAATATTCTGCTTAAGAATCATTTATAGTGTATTTTTTAAATGTAAAATTAGCTGGTTAGAAAATAAAAACTAATCGTACTTTTTTTTGTAAATTTTTCTTCTCCTACTGTTGATATCCACATGTGATGAAACATTTGATAAGATAATGAGCAAAAACAATTTCAGCACAGTGAGATCAAAATCTTATTTCTTTAGATGCAAATGGTTATATCGGCAAGTTAACTAGGTAAGTACTGTCTAACATATACAGTACAAAGTCCGAAATCCGGACTCGTCGGGACTTTGGCGATTCCGGATTTGGGATTTTTCCAGATTATAGGTCATCAATTTAAATCTGGTAAGATGGCATGCAGAAATTATACAATTAAAAATATGAAATCCTAATTTATGAGTAAAGAACAATTATGATTTAAAGAGTATCAAAATTTACAACAAAAAAAAAAAAAAAAAAAAAAAAAAGCTTAATATTTATTTGTTTACTTTATTAAACATTTCTTTAATATTTATTTGTTTACTTTATTAAACATTTCTTTCAATGTAAATTGTTTAAGTTGCTTCCACAAAAAATTTAAAAAGTTCCTTTTCCTTATGTCATATACAGCTGACTTTCTCGTGCCATACTCCTCCCATAATTTTGAAACTGGTATGCCTTTATTCATTTTTTGCAGCAATTCCACTTTTTGTTTAATGGACATCGAAACATGCTTTCGCTTTGTAGATCCTTTGGCAGCTCCAGAATTGTAAACTCTTTTCGACATAATTGAAAGTTCAAGCTTAATCTTTATAATATTGCCCCAATAGTAACAGTTTGCAAAACATAATAAGCTGGATCAAACTAGAAGAATAGGGAACAGTGCAGTCCACTACATTAACTGAAATACCTTAGAATCAGTAAAGATAATTTTTGCCTAGCTTTAATAGCGTCCGTTATACATTATTAGCTGTGTATCACAAGATTGGTGACAAAAGCTAAGTTTTTTCGCTAAATTTTGTTTGGCGAAAAAAGCTAAGTTGTTTCACTAAATTGTGTTTTGATCCTGTTGCGTACTGAAATTAAGCCTGAATTGTATTAGTTTAGTTATTTACTATACCTACGTTTATTTCTTGCACATGCTAAAATAATCTGAGTCCTGAATAAATAAACTCCCACATATACTTAACACTTTATCTAGGGCTGGCGGCGCTTGAAAACCGCCTGAGGCATCCTCTACAGGTCCTAAATTCTGCTGCAAAGCGCCTTTTGTAAGTTCTAAATTTTCAACCGCACCTAAACTTTGCCATCCCAGTGCTTTCCCTAAATCATAAAAAACTTCTCATCCCTTAATTTTGCTGCTCGGTGCTTTTCCAAATTCCAAAAATTTCTTCTTCCCTAAATTTTGCCGTCCATTGCTGACATATTCTGCCGCCACTTCTGGGTTTATGGTGAATAACATATCAGTTATTCTTAATTAAAATAACACTAAATGTAATCTTTTCTCCTATGAGTTTCATTAACAAAATCTATTTTTAGCATATGAAAATAAATTTTTGTTGAATTTTTCCTCGTCAACATTTCTTAGAGCATTTAAAAATCTATAATCATCACCAAGCATAATGTTAGCATAAAAGGTTGCCATTCAATTACTAATATAAAAAAAGTTTAGACATCACAGCATGAATTATTACTGAAGCTGTCATGTATTGATAAACATGCGGTAATGAAAGCAAAATATAATAAATAATGACTTGCCAGGTCGGCGTCATTGATATAAAATAGGTGAATGTTTCAGTTTGATGTGTATGCCAAGTAGATACTCAGCTACGGTGCCAAATTATTAATTTCACAAATTTATGCTTACATGATTGTTTTTCCATAACAAGGTATTTTATTTAATGCCTAAGTGAAATTAAGAATTGGAATTTTTATGTGAAAATCTCCACGTGTTTTATTATGGAAGAAAAAATGAAATACGCATGCGTAAAGCATACAAAAAAAAGTTTGTGACTTTGAGGTCCAGATTTTAGATCATTCCGGATAATGGATGTGCGGATTTCGAACTTTGTACCGTATACACTTTGAAGAGTGGTTGGAGAACTTTGTGAGTGTAGAGGCCCATATTTTGGCTAATCTGTTATTCTGACTGTTACAGTGGTTATGTTGGCCTATTGCACTGTTACGCTTGAGCTATAATCTTGAGGAATCTCTGGATGTTTTTTAGTGGCTTTGTGTCATGACAACAGACGTTTTGAGATGTTTGGTAGTAATGGAAGAGGGGTAGAAGACCCTTAGATGCATTTCTCACAGGATTCTGCTTTGAAATTTGGATGGAGCTTGGTAAGTCGTACTGTCTAAGGTGCTCAAGGCCCATGCTAATGACAATCTTTTGTTTCTCACCAAGATCAAATTCGTGGACTGATGTTACTGTCAAACAAGTGAGATAAGTTGCAACAGCAAGAGTGTAGATTGGAGTCCTGGAACACTTTACAAGTCTATGGCTTGTAATTCTGCTATTTAATTCTCTAACATATTAATGTAAAATACAGTGCAAAATTAAAAAAAAAAAAAAAAAAATTTTCCCCTCCAAGTTAAAGTAAATTGTTTTTGTATGGATTTTAAGCACAGCTTCCTGAATTTCTCACAAATAACATATTATTAACAGTACAAGTAGTTATTTATTGTTATCTACTAGCATGTTCATCTACTAACATAGTTTTAATTAAAAAGCTTTTTAAAATATACCCGTAAAAAGTTACTGAGAACTAATGAAATTTTTATTTATAAAATATGATACACTATAAATACACAAAACAAGGAGCTGTCAAGAACTAACAAAGTACTTAATTAAAAATACCCTTAAAATTCTCCAAACAAAAGCTTTCAAGAACAAATAAAATTTCATTAAAAAGTTAAAACATTTTTTAGAAACTATTCAAGTTAAAACTGCCTAGAACATTCAAACTTTAAATAGAAGGCCTGATTAAATTCAAAATCAACCAGGAAAATTGAAAAAGTACAAATATACCTACGGCATCTTACCATTTGCATACAGTCAAAAGTCGTTAATCCGGACTCGTCGGGACTTCGGCGATTCCGGATTATAGATCATCAGTTTAAATCTGGTAAGATGGCATGCAGAAATTATAAAATTAAAAATATGAAACCGTAATTTATGAAATAAAGAACAATTATGATCTAAAGGGTATCAAAATTTACAAAAAAAAAAAAAAAAAAAAAAAAACTTAATATTTATTTGTTTACTTTATTAAACATTTCTTTCAATGTGAGTTGTTTAAGTTGCTTCATTTTTTATGTGATAATACTTTCTCTTTAATTCTATAAACAGACATAATTTCTTGTTCAGTTACAAAGTTCCGCTGTTCAAGTCCTATAATTGCTGTTTCGAAAGGGAATTATAATGACGAGGAATTTGATTTAAATCATATCAAAGACGGAGTACATCAAGATGAAATACTACATTTAGTAAGGAATTATAAGCCAAATAAAATAAAAACATCTGCCCTGAAGATAAGGATAGTGCTGACAGATCAACTTCCAATTCATTGTGTGCCGCAGAGTAGCGTGAAATTGATAAACAGATTTTGGAATGGTTAGATAAGCAAAGGATATGCCTTTATCCATTTTTGCAGCAATTCCACTTTTTGTTTAATGGACTTCGAAACATACTTTCGCTGTGTAGATCCTTTACATATTAGTAAATATATATCAGAAATTCTTTTTGACATGATCGAAAGTTCAAGCTTACTTTTATAAAATTGCTCTAACAGTCTGCAAAAAATGATAAAGCCGTATCCAATTCAAAGATTAAGGAACAATGCAATCTGCAACATTAACTGAATTAGATAATTTTAGCTTAGCTTATACCTTCCGTTATGCATTAAACGTGCATTCGTAAACATATTCTGCGCATGCACACACGAATATTCGCTGCCGTAAAGGTCTTACGCGCATGCTTCAAAGCGACGCATGTGCAGAAAGTTTGTAGCTTTGAGATCCGGATTATAGATCATTACGGATTATGGGTGTCCGAATTAACGACTTTTGACTGTAGTAGTAAAAGTTACAATAAAAATATCTAAGTTTGCAAATTGTTAATATTTTGTATTTGATAAAGGGTGTTTTACTTTTCTTTATATTGAAATTATTCTGTATTTCTAAGCATTTACCAAATTGAAAGTTTGGTAAATGCTTAGAAAAATTTCTAAACTTATTTTAACTTTTATTTTTATTTCTGCTTTTTGTCTATTAAGCATTTTTTAAAATAAATATTTAAACTATATTTTGTTTCATTAAAAGTAGCTATTCATTTGCATAGATAATCAAGAATTCATTGTTTACCTTTACTTTCTTTGCCTTTTTTAGGTGGACCATTTTACATACACAAATACCGATTTCTTCTTGCAGCGTTATTTTGTAAATAGCAAATATTTTGATCCAAAGAATGGAACTGTATTTTTCTATACAGGGAATGAAGGATATATTGAAATGTTTGCAAACAATACGGTAAATGTTGCAATTATTATTTTGCAGTTATACAGTATTTGATTATTCTTAAATAACCAGCTTCAAATATTTTTTTAATTATTGTATTTTATCACCTCAATTTTTTATTATCTTTATATTTTCCTGCTAAATAATAAATTGACAGGCAGAAACACTAAAACAACTTTAAGGAGAAGCTTTAGGAAAAATATTAGCCCTTTTGAGAGCCTGTGATTAGTTCTTTCCAGTTAGATCTTCAGTATTTCCGGATTTAATTTTGAAACACTTTTTGAGTTTCTTAGAAAACATGCTTTCACACTGTAATTTGACAAATGCCAAATAACGTATAATTCTTCAAAGAATAGTATGGTTTGATTTTCTTTTTCTAAAATGTTTAAATCAATTATAAATATCAAGGCAGCAGCTAAAATAATAATTATAAAAATATGCATAATGATTTTAATAAATTCAGCTTGTGTCATTTCATGGGTCCAATGAGCAGTAAAGTAATAATACTGACACTACATTTGTTGCTTTTAAATCACTTTGTTTGCTAATCAATAACAGATTAAAATTCAAAGGAAAATTAAAAAGTCATGCTTTGCTAAATGGTAGTATACTAGAATATCAGAGATGAAATTATTTTATTTCAGGCAGTGGTAACAGAATTCTTCTAAATTGCTGATTCTGTTGATTAAATTTGAAAGACAAACACCTTGCAATTTAGGTAAAAATAACATGGCGAACAAATATTAATTTAGAAGTCAAACAACAAAAAAAACAGCGTTATATTTGCAAATTTTCACAGGACTAGTTTCGATGGTTTTATCGAACCATCAACCTCAGCTGCCAATGTGCAAATGAACAAGTAAAATATAGTGATAAGATAAGAATGGCTGTATGGGAGTTAAGTTACTGGGATCATCTATTGAGGAAACAATAGATTATGTTTTAGTTTTCTTGTTTCATTAATAAATAGTACCAGTAGATTAATTCCCATCCAGCCATTCTTATCACTATACCTTATATCCTTCATTTGCACTTTGGCAGCTGAGAATGATGGTTCTGTAAAACCATCAAAACTACTCCTGTGAAAATTTGCAAATATAATGCTGATTTTTGTTGTTTTACTTCTAAATTAAACATCTTACACTTTGTCAAGTGGCAACATATTTCATTTAACCACTTAGCTCAATAAATTTTAGAAATTAGTCACAAAATTTATTTTTTAAATACAGAATTTGTGAGAAAATTGCATTTTTAGATGATTTATTTGTGAAAAATCATTCACATGTATATATAAAGAGAGAGCGAGAGGGAGAAATTACTCCTGTCATGTTGTCTTTTTGAACACACATAAGTATGAGTGGTAAGTTTATTTTATGTAAAATAGTCCTGTAATATTGCCTTTTTTATGCATGCAGGTAGTAATAAACATTTTACATAGCTTTACATTTAGTTATTACATATCTAGAAAATTGATCTATAACTTAATATTTTATTTGGTATGATGTATTTTTAGGAAGGATACTTTTTTATGTATTTAAAAACAAGTAACGAATGAAAATTAAAACACTCAAATTGCAGTAATGTAACATCAAAACTATTTTGTATGCTTTTAACTAATAAGTTTATAAGAGTTTGTTGACCTCTAATAAAACTTGTAATAAACTCTAATAAAACTAAATGAACATTTAGCAAATGCAACACAATATATCTATGAAAGCAGATGTTTTACTATGAATTCAATGGGGGGGGGCCTACAAACTTGCTCTTAAGGCCAACCAATGCCATCTGGAAGCAGATAAAATACATAGTACATGATAGTCAAAATTTAAAACTTTGAAATGAGATGCGTGTACCACATATGGGCAAATCAGGCTGCACAAAAAAGAGCATACATTCAAAACTGCTGTTTAAACTGCTGAGCTTTTTGATTAAATTTGAAACACCTTCAGATGTGTTTTAATTTTCTGATTGGCAACATGTTTTTAAATCTCCGAGTTAATTTATCAAAATTTCAGAAGTTCATGCAAAACAAAATAAGTAAAAGAAATTTTAAAAATTCTAAATTGAAGCTTTGAAATGCACATATTCGGGTAAAGGATGGTGTGTGTTTAAAGGCTGCTGGCTCTAGATGGCACCATTTACCATTATGATCTGGAACATAAATACATATATATTACGTACAGATTTTTGATTATGTAATATGAATAGCAGCTTGTGCAACTGGCTACATAAAATAGCAATTATAAAAAAAGAAAAAATATATAATGATTTTTAATGAGTCCATCTAGTGTAATTCCATAAAAATGTTCAGTATTTTCAACTAGTCATCTCAATTAAATGCATTTAAATCAATCATATTAGAAAGTAAAAAAATTATTAAGAGATGTGTTTATTGCTTTTAAATTGCTTGGTTTGTTAATCAATAATAGACAAATTAAATTTGAAAGTTAAATCTGGTGCTTGAAATAAATGAATTGTGAATTTAACTAAATGGTGTAAATGAATTGTGAATTTAACCAAATGGTGATCCAACATAAAAATTAAAAAATTATTTTATTGTGATCAATAAACCACTGGCCTCATCTGCAGGGCTGAGTCAGTAGGGAAAATGACCGACTCCTGGAATTTTAAAGACTCCGACTCCCTCATATATATATATACACATGTAAACATATACACATGGATTATAGCTTATTTTTTTAATATAAAAGAAGTAATAGATGCTACAGGGAAAAAAAAAAATTGATGGCATAGGAAATTATTTTATATTAATTAGCATTTATTATGAAATGGGAAAAACTAGCATTAGTTATTCTAAGAAACAGTATATAGCTTCAGTAAGATTTTCTTTGTTTTAGGGCCATTGATCCGATTTGATAAACTTCAGAGCTGAGAAGAGTCTTTCCTCACTAACTTAAGTAGGAGGAAGAGCTGTTACTGTTAGGGCTACTTTTTTTAACTTTTCAGGATAGATTTTTCAGATTTTTAACTTTTCAGGATTTTTTTTTTTTTTTTCAGGGTAGAAGTTCTAAAAGAGGTGTCTTGCAAGTGCAATAATATTTCTCTATTTCTTCAAAGGCCATGTAGAAATCTTGTTTGTATTTTTTCATTTTTATATCTAAAGATACTTGGTTATTTATTTTCATTCGCTTTGCCTTAGCCTTTTCAATATTATCCAAAAATATTTCTCAAAATCTAATTCATCACTGGAAGAGGATGATAGAGACTCTATTGCAGTGTCTGCAGTTTGGCTGTACTGATTCGACTTCTTCAATTGTTCTGAAAATAATTTCATTCTTAATGAAAGCTCATAGAAGGCTTTCTTTACCTTTTTAATTTGTTCGTCATTCAAAAAAATTCAGTGTTTCGGATCTACATATATTGAACTCAGCAAGATCTCATTGTATAGCAAACTAGTTTCTCTTTTCTTCATTGAAAAAATGATTCCTTCTGCAATAAACCCTCTATTTCAGAAAGAACAAACTTCCCAGTCTTCCATTCTCGCCTCCTGTCAATTCTTCAGATTACAGCTTTTTTGTGGCTATATACGGTGTAGAAAGAAGAGTTTCCAATTCTCCAAGATCATTCCACAGTCTTTCTGTTAGTGAAACATTAGAGTTATCTACATCTTCTAAAAAAATTCTTAATTCTAAAAACCTCTTTATCATTAACTATGTACTTCCTTATCGCATTGCGTGATCAATAATTGCTCCTTTCCCTGCTCGCTTTCTAAGAAAGGCGTCAATTTTGGGAGTTCTTGCTGCTTACCTAAATTTATCAGTGAGATTTGCAACTAAATGAATCAGTTTAATCACTAATGGCAAATATCGCATAAATCCTCCTCCCTAATATTTATTTATTAATATGTCAGTAAAATAGAAAAATGTATACAGTCCATAAATAAAAATAATTACTCAGTTTGTCATTAATTTTTTTTCAATTCATTTTAATTTCATTTCAAATTTAAACTGTCCCACAAAAACTGGAGTCGGAGTCACTGTTTTTAGCGATTCCAGCTCTGACTCCTTTTACCCCAAAATCTGTCTGACTCTGATTCTGACTCCACAGCCCTGCTCATCTCGAATCATATTATCTATTTATACATTTCCATAACTACTTAATAAAACATTGTGAATATTTTCTATTTCAAAATGTAAAGGTTTTGGGAGATCTATACGATTTTCCCAATGGCTGTCACTCAATAGTTTCAATGTAAGAATTTTAAGGAGTTTTCTTAATATGGTTCATTGAAAACTTGACAATGCAAAAAATATATGTAGCTTTTAAACCGCATTAAAAACAATTTGCTGCCTTCGAGGAAGATTTTGATGTATCATTAGCTACCAAGTTTAATGAATGACTGCTGCAAGATGCAGAAAATGCTCTGGGATTTTAAGTTTTAATTCTTAATTGTATTTCCAAATTGTCGCCTTTCTTATTTAAACCATTGTCGTAACCTTGATCTCCATATTTTCTAATTTTAATCTATTTTTCTCCATCTTTTCTAATAGAGCTTGAGATAATTCCAACATTGCATTCAATTCCTGCATCTGATTGATCAGTGGAAACATATCTTACTACAAATGTCATTTGTTAACCTTACTCGCATCAGGAGTGAAATCAAGAATAAGCGAATAATATTTCGCTTTTTGAACTTGTTTTATAATATAAGACTTTATGTTATGTAACTATTCAATAATTTCATCCTGAATGTTTTTATCTAAATATGTTGCTGTCTTTTCTTCATTACTGAGGATTCTACAAACACGTTCTTTCATTATTGGTTCAAATTCAGACAACAATTGTATTAACTTCCGAAACTTTCCATTATTATGTTCATAAGGCTTGTCACTTGTTCCTGGAAAAGCTTGAGAACGTTCACCAAGCAGTTTGATACTGACATTATGTACAAATTGCTTCATGTCAATATTTAATTGCAGAATTAATTAATCTTTGTGCAACTGATTCTATTGTCTGACAGGTTTCTAATCTGAATATATCAACCAATTTCTTGACACATGTTCTCCGTTTTTCAAAATTCTGTAACAGAACTTACCCTAAATCTTTGATTTGGAATTTGAGTGTGAAATGGAAAATCAGAACCGAATAAAGGAGGTAATGGAGCTCTTCTCAATAAAAGTGTTCGATCTAAGTCACTTACACCATCGGGCTATAATGGCAGAGTTTAGTTCAGGCCTTCTTCATTTTGCATTGTAGTATCTATTGCCTCGAAACCTATTGAACTCGATTCCTGCCCAGAACAACTCACAGTTTCATTATTTATGTTACTGTCCTCTTGATAATCCAAATCAGAATTGATATTAGTCTCTAGATCTCAACAATGGCTTAGTTCTGTGCTTTATTTGGAACTACTTGCACCTGTTAAGAAATTACGCAATGCTCCTGATCGCTTTTGAAGTTGGGATTGCTTCTCCAACCTCTTATTTTTATATTGACTTCCAGAATCTTTTTTCTTTCATCAGACATTCTAAAACAAAAAGTTAATTGAATAAGGTTAATCGAACAATTGAAACTGAATGTACGGCTATCTTCTATAGAATGGTAAAAATAACCTGAGAAGTCTTGGATCAAAATATAGGGATTTAAAAAAAAAAAGTTATATGTTTTGGATATCATGGGGAAACCACCCAAAAATTTGTCTTATTTAAAATTTTAAATAGCAATACATATACCAAAAGGCTGTATTGAAATCAGTTTAACACTTACCCAGAAAATTGTGATTAAACATAAATATATAAAAAGTCAGCGCAGTTGGGGGGGGAAAAAAAAAAATTGAGTAAACTTAGAATATTAAAGTTGCAGGTAGAACAAACAATACTACCTTACTTCTAAAAAGAACTTTTCACATTCACAATAAATGTTGCATAAACTTTATCACTACCACAATTCAAGCGCACCTGGCGGATGTTATTACATAAATAACGCATTGTTTTAAATCTCTGTCTTTTTTTAGAGGTTAAAAAAGCTTGTTAAATCATGTTAGGGGCAAGCTTGCATTTCTCACTTTGTTGCGTGGTCACATATACAGATACCCACTATCCAGAACATAGAAGCTTATCTATTCTTGTCTTTTGTGCATCTCAAAATATAGGAATGGATTGAAACCTGTCAGTTTGTGTTGTATTTGATTTTATTTTACTGTTCCTTAATTTTCTATTTTCAGCCAAACAGAATATACTTTTTGAGTTTTTTGGGGGGTGGGGGTGGAGTTCATTTGGTTTTTCCGGCATAGGCAATTGCCTACCTTGCCTACCACCTAGGGCAGGCCTTGGCATTTGATATTTACATGCCAAGGCCAAGGTTTTGGTGCTTGATTTTACTGGGTGCATGGGCTCATGAACCAGATCTAGCTGAGCTACACTGTAAGGGACTGGCAACAACAATACACTATAATGCACTTTAACTAAATATTTAGTATTTAAAAATTCTTGGAGAACAGCAACATAGAAGCAACTAAATGCATATTTAGTTAATTATTAGTCTGTGAAGTTATGATTTTTTAAAAATTAAAGCATTGTTATAATTTGAGTCAAATTGTTATAATTTGGATTTTGAAAAGTATTTTTATATACTTATTTAAATAATACTGTTATAGGGTTTTATGTGGGAAAATGCTGCTTTGTTTAATGCTTTAATTGTGTTTGCTGAGCATCGATACTATGGTCTGTCTCTGCCTTATGGAAATGAATCATACAAGGTAAGTTTAAAAATATTTTATGTAATGCCTTCTTTATTCAAGCTGTGTATCAATTCATTACAGCTGGCAACATTTTTTTTATTAATTAATTAATTAATTTATTATTATTATTTTGTGTGTTGGCAAAGGAAAGAAAAATAAATATCTATTTTTCTTGTCTTCACGTGTATTCATATCCTGTATTTACATATTATGGATGTATATTTTTGTTATATCATTTTAAAATATTACAGGATAATAAACATCTAGGTTACCTTACAACTGAACAAGCTCTTGCAGATTTTGCTAATCTTATTGCATATATAAAACAATCTACTCTTGGTGCCAGAGATGCTCCTGTTGTTGCATTTGGTGGATCTTATGGAGGAATGTTAGCAGCATGGATTCGAATGAAATATCCTCACTTAGTTGACGGGTAATTATTTTTCTTTTAAAATAATTAATTAAATCAAATTGTTAGAAATGATTATTACATACTATTTGTAAAAATGCATTGCAGTTTTTTAAATGAAAGCTAGCTTCTAAAATAATGAAACATTATCTTAACAATGCTAATTAATCATACAGAAAATAGATTCAGCAAACTAAGCTTTCAAAGCTACTTTCAGATTAGATTCAAACTGTAATTTCTTAAAGTATAAAAATGAATAGTACATTCATGTATTTCATGCACAAACCACACATGTTGCACATTTATGTAAAAGTATTTAACGCTTTGGCTGCTCATATTGTGATTTCCACAGGCAACTCAAATACAGCAAAATTTGTTCATTTTGCGCTTTTTTGCGGGTATGTATTTTCTTCCTTTATTTAGGAGCACATCCGGCCTTTTCACCATTTAACCAGTGAAATAAATTATGTACAGTATTAGACTTTTAATTTAGGTTTTGACCAATAGATGTCATTAGCTGTCCACTAAATTGCAGCATCTGGAAGGTACTTGGTATTTACCACTCTAACTTTACTATGTTTGCCACCTTTTTCTGATCAGAAATGGCTGGTAGAAAACGTTCAGTGATTGATGAAAAAAAGATACAAATGGAAGAAACAAGATGAAAAGGAAGATGCATAAATAGATGCAAACGGGGGGGGGGGGGGGGGGGAATCAGAAAGAAACACGAATCTGGTGCAAAAACTATGAAGTTGGATATTGCCTTGAATCCTCTTTCGAACTCTATCATACTAAACTACGTTTGTAAGGTATTTTTTCCTCAGTACATTATATTTTCTTAAGTATTTATGTATTTTTATTTTTTATTATGTAATAAATAGACATAACTGTAATTCAATTGAAATTTATTTAATTTTTTTTTTTTTTTTTTTTTTTTTTTTTTTGTGATAACACCTGAAATTATTTTTTCTTTTGACAGCTTAGTTTCTCATGATAAAAATCTATATAAAAAATGCAGATTTCAGTTGTGTAATATATATAGATTTAAAATATGGAAAAAAAATACACAATTTTTGAAGCGATTTCGGTCCACAAATTGTGCATTCAGATGTTAAATGATAGAGGGCAGTCTTTTTTTAAATCTCTGACTACATGCATAATCTTATTTTTCCTCAAAAGAAAATGTTTTCATAAAATTGACGAGGTTTGTACAATCCACGAGTCCGTAAAAGTCCTTAGTTTTTTTTTTGAATTAATTTTTGATCCTTTAAAGTTCCTAATTTCATCCAAAATTGATAGAAGATTCTTAATTTTAATCATCTGAAATTTTGGTCCATTTTTACAACTGCCGTTTTAAGTGCAAGTTAGCATTTTAGGAGAATATTTTTGGTAGTTCCTTGACAAATATGGTTTATCATTTGAATTTCCTTCTATTTCTAATGTAAATGGTGCTATACTTGAATTTCTAGCCAAGAAATGAAACATAAGCATTTCAAAAAAAAAAATTTTTTTTTGAATAAACAGATCTTAAACAACTTTTCCCTTCTGGGAATGTGAATTCTTTGAATGGTTCTTAATTTGGCAACTTATCAACATTTTAGTGATTTTAAGATCAATTTCTGTACAATATTTTTAATTCAGAGATCTGTGAGTTTTATGATGATTTTTTACAACATTTATAACCTTAATAAATTTTATCAAAATAATGGTAATATTTAGGTTAAAATAACCTATATATGGCATTATATAGGTTATTGTAATATACTAATATGGTACAACGTTCAATATCCAGAATGATCTAAAATCCGGACCTTAAAGCCACCAGCAAAAATTTTTTTTATGCTTTATGCATGTGCATTTGATTTTTTCCCCATAAGAAAACATGGAGAATCTTGATTCTTAATTTCACTTTGGCACTAAATAAAATACCCCATTATTGAAGAAACAATCATTTTTGCATAAATTTGTATGATCAACAATTTGGCTCCGTAGCTGCATATCTGTTTGCCATACATCTCAAACCAAAACATACATAGAAACATCGTTAATTTTACAACTACTGATATTTTATATTCCTGATGCCAACCTGACGAATCATTAGTTATTATATATTTGGCTTTTCTTATATGGAAGTGACAGGATACTTTTAACTTTTCAAAATAGTACCAAAAATTTTAAGTGAATAACATTGTAGGGAAAATTATATGTATCCTTTGTAGTATATGTATCCTTTGAAGTATATGTTTACCTAATGTTTATTATATGATAAATATTTTTCAAAAATGAAAATATCAAGTTTAAAAATTAGCATCTTCTCATTTAAGTGGAAAATTTGTACTATGAAAAAATCAGACAGTTATTTATCTATCAAATAAAAATAAAAGTTACTAAAACAATTTTTCAGATATTTTGTCGGGCTATTATTATTTTTTAAACATGGCATGCATTCAACTCGACTTTTTTAATATTTCTGGCTTGATTTTCCTCTGTTTATCTTGCATTACTATTTCAATATTATTGTAAAGAAATATTGTTTTTTTATATTTTATTTCTGGTCAAGTATGTGTGACAGGATTTAAACTAAACATTGAGTAAATGTTTTCATTATTATAGGACAATTAAATAGCAGTTTGGGTCACAAATTTATGTAGTGTTAGAGTTATTGGCTTACTATAAATTATAATTATTTTGCTAATTGACTTAATTTTTGAAAGAAACCAGTCAGTTGGTTGAATAGAAATGACTGTGGTTAAGATTTTATCTAATATTTTCACAATTACCATGTTTCATGATTACTTTGCTGGTGTGATTATTATGCTATTATTTCTTCAGTTATAAAAGCATTTGAAGGAAAGACCAAATGTTAAGGTACTTGTGAATATTAATGGTAATCCGAGTAAAAGTTTATAACTGTGATGATAGGACAAGATAAAAGTTTTACTTATATAACTATGGAAGTGTAGAGTCCCAAGAATGATTTTACTTTGAGGTATAATGTTTTCTTGCTAAACCTAATTTATAGAAAACCATAAAATTTTATGATTTTAAAATTTTAAATCATTATTTATTTTCATTAGATCTTAAATGCTCTTATTTATTAATAAAAGCATAAATTTTTGCTTACTAAATGATTTTCTTAATTGTTTAAATTACAAGATTGAATTTTTTCTTGCAAACTGTAAGAACAGGTAGATTACATAACCAGGGTTCGTACTATCCTTAAGAGTCCTTAAAAGTCCTTAGATTTTTTGGAATCAATTTTTTGGTCCTTAAAAGTCCTTAATTTTGGCCAAAATCAGCAGAAGGTCCTTAATTTTAATCATCTGAAATTTCTGTCTCTTTTAACAATTGCCATTTTTAGTGGGAATTAGCATTTTGGAGGAATATTTTCGACGATTCACTGGCATATATGGTTATCTTTTGAATGTGTTTATGGGTTATAATTTGTTTCTATTTCTAATATAATTGATGGGATGCTCGAATTTCCAAGCAAGAAGTGAGATATAAGCATTTCAAAATTCATTTTCTCTAAAAGAGTTCTTAAACAACGTTTTGCTTTTGGAGATGTGAATTCTTTTATTAAACAGTTATAAATTTGGCAACTTATTAACATTTTGGCAATTTTAAGATCAGTTTCTATAGAAAATTTTTAATTCTGAGATCTGAGAATTTTTGGACGATTTTTTTTAAACATCCTAACATTGATAAATTTCATTAAAATAATGGTAATATATTGAAATTATATTTAAAAAATAATATTAAAATAAAAAATTTTTTAATTTTTGCTGTGTCATATTATAAAATTTCATTTTGGCAACTTATTATACAATATTTGGACTCTGAAAAATAAAGAAGGTATAATGCAATTTATGAAATGGCTCTTAGCAAAAGCAAAATTAGCTATGTAATTAGTTAAAAATATCTTCTTTTTAATTTTTTCATAGTAAAAGTTTTCCCCATGCAATTGTCTCGGAATATTCAAAATTCTCAGAATATGTATCAGTTTTCTCTATAAAATTAATTTTACACTTTTTCCCTCCTTTTTTTTTACAAAATATTTCTGGCTTTTTGCTGTTACTGAATTGGTAAGGATAATTTTTCTTTAGTATTTTAGCCATTGCAGCTTGGAAAGTTTAGAAGGATTTGAAGGCAAGATTTATAGACACACGATTCTAGAAGATTCGAGTAATATGTGACAAAATGAAAAATGTCTCCATGGTATCAACACGTAAGGGATGTATTTTACTGAAAGTTTGCAATGAATTTCTTACTTTTTGGAGAACGTCTGGAAGAACAATGAAAACATAATATTTGAATGTTTTACTCCTGATACCAGAATCATTTTCTTAACATGTTTATCTTCCCATTATTTTCTCTACTTTTCACTAGACACTAGCATGGAAAATATCAAAAATGCTTCTAATCTTGTCACAAGGGTGGGCAATTATAGAAAGGGATTTTTTTATTAATAAAGAAATTGAAAACTTACAATTTAAAAGATTCATCTAATATGTTTTAATGTATCATACACAGAGCTGGCACTAGGCATTTTCCCACCTGATGCAATCTCTGTGGAGCCTAAATTCTGCTTCCAATGCCTGCTCTGAATTCTAAAAGTTTTGCCATTTCTAGATTTTGTTGTTCGGTGATACCAACTCCTCTACCAGAGGAGTTTAACTCCTGAATGGCTTTGAGTGGGGGTTGACGTATTGTACTAGTCCTCTCAAGACCATCCCAAGCGAGTTCAATAGGATTAAGGTCAGGATATTTGGCTGGCCAATCCATTCAGTGAATGTTCTCGCTTTCCAGATACCCATCAGCCAGGTGGGCTCTATGTGGTCGTGCAATGTCATCCATAAAAATAAATTTAGGGCCAACAGCACCCCTGAAAATTCATATATAGGGCTGTAGGATCTCCTGCCTATACCTTTGGGGATTCGTGGAACCAGTGGCAAAAACATGGAGTGGTGTATGGTTATCTTGCATGATCCCTATCCAGACCATCACTCCTGCACCACCATAATGGTCCCTTTCCATGATGTTGCTAGGATGGTATCAGGTCCCAGGTTCCCTCCATATCAATCATCGCCAAGAATCAGGTTGTAGATTGAATCTGGACACATTCATGAAGGTAACATTAGTATGCATCATTTTAAATGCTCTCTTTTGTGGGAGGGAGTGTGTGGGATGCAAATAACAGGCTTTGTGGCATAGAGTCCTGTCTCATGGCAACTGTCTTCCTTGAAAATGATGTTTCTGTGGCAGTAGCTAGGTCATAAGACAGTTGTGTGGTTGTAGATGTCCTATGACGCTTGGCTGAAAGTACCAAATATCGTCCGTCATTGGTTCTTATGGCTTTTGGTCGACCTTGTCCTAGTCTTCTGGACACTGTCTCGCTGTTTTTAAACTGATTCCATAAATTAGAGCTGACAGTGTTACATCCAGTTCTCTTACAATCTGAGCTTGGGACTGCTCTGTCTCAAGCCTAACCACAATTATCCGTCTCATACCTTTGTTAAGCCATGATGTGTACTCAGTTCACATGAAAACAGCAAGATTATTCAAGAAAGATAATAAAAATCACTATTGTGCTGCAGAGTGAAATGAGCTGAGTAGCTGGATGCGGACTTTTATACCTCCTGCTGGCGTAACGAACCCCGCAGGAGCATATAAAATCATCTCAGCGACACTAGCGCCACAGTAACATTATACAGTGCAAAGTCTGTAATCCGGATGTCCATTTTCCGGAATGATCTATAATCTGGACCTCAAAGCCACAAACTTTGGTATACTTTACGCATACACATTTAGCACAAAAAACGAAGCAACTTAAACAACTTGCATTGAAAGAAATGTTTAATAAAGTAAACAAATAAATATTAAGCTTTTTTTTTTTTTTTGTAAATTTTGATACCCTTTAGATCATAATTGCTCTTTATTTCATAAATTAAAGTTTCATATTTTGAATTGTATAATTTCTGCATGCTATCTTACCAGATTTATATTGATGATCTATAATCCATAAAAACCCTTAAGCTGGAATCGCCGAAGTCCCAACGAGTCCGGATTACGGACTTTGTACTGTATAGCAACCAACTGTCCAAGATTTCACTGCTATTTTAGGAGAAACATGGGAAAATGTTTTTCATCTTTTAATTTCGTCCACCAGTATATTTGACTAGTCTCAAGCAGTAAATGCAAGTCTTAGTTATTGAAATTGTTTCTGAACAGCAAGGCAATCTTCATTTACTTAATCATTTGATTTAGAAATAAAGTTAAATTTCCACTATCTGTTATGCTTTCATTATTATCTGATTATTGCAATTAAAATAGAATTTGTTCTGACAACTGAGGATGTAGAACTTTTTATCTCTTACTTTCATTCTGAAGTATTTTATGTATTTATATATTAGTATATTTAACATTTATGGTGGCTGTGTACAAAGAGTTAATTCTATAATTTACACATGTGAAAAATTGACATAAAAACTGTATAGCCATGCATGTTATTGAATGTGGTTAATATTTATTTATCATAAAAAATTATTTGCTGTTAAAATATGAAGTTACGAAAGGTCTTTCCTACACGTTGAATATTTGAAACTGAATTTCCTTGTTTAATGGATTCAGGAGCAAAGATACCTGTTTTTAGAATATAAAAAACATAGTATCTTGCTTGTATGAAATAATTCTTTATGAAATAAAAATGTTTGTGCAAACCACATTTAAATTAGATAAAATGTGTTCACTATTTGTTATTTATTAAAACTTTTACTTTTGTGAAGGTACATATTATTACTTTAGCTACATTTTTGTTAACCTTATATGTTCATTAAATATTTGTCCTGAAAGCGTTTGAATAGTATCCCTCAAATTTATTTTATGATTAGGGCGGTTGCATCTAGTGCACCTATCTTACAGTTTGATGGTTTGGCTGACTGTGCAAAATTTTCTGAAATAGTGACAAATGATTTTTCCATGGTTGATAATCAATGTGCATTGTCTATTAAAAAGTCTTGGAAAGTTATTAGATCTTTTGCTGCTTCAGGTATGTATTTCATTACTTTTTTGATCTGCAGTCTTTTTATGTATTAGTAACTTTGAAATTTCTGATTGTGTATAGTTGTTAGTAATGCTGGATGCTATGTTGAAGAATTTTTATCTCCAGTGCGCAAGACTGTGTATCGGAAATTCTAAAGATATGCTTTTTAAAAATTATTTTGTGATATTGCTGTTAAATTGAATTTTATGGTTTAATTGCAAAGAGCATGATATTTAATAAATAACACACAAAACATTAAAAAAGAAGCCCCTTTGGGTATAATATAAAATCTGAAGACTTTCAGATTTTTTTTTTTTTTTTTTTTTTGGCTGTCTTTTCAAAAGCCTCACAGGGTTCATACGGTCCTCAAGAGTTCTTAAAAGTTCTTCGATTTTTTGGAATTGATTTTTGGCCCTTAATGTCCTTAATTTTGGCTAAAATCAGCAGAAGGTCCTTAATTTCAATCATCTGAAATTTCTGTCTCTTTTTACGACTGCTATTTTGAGTGTGAATTAGCATTTTGGAGGAATATTTTTGGCAATTCACTGATGTATATATGGTTATCTTTTGAATGAGTTCATGAGTTATAATTTGTTTCTATTTCTAATATAAATGATGGGATACTCGAGTTTCTAAGCAAGAAGTAAAATATAAGCATTTCGAAATTCTTTTTTTTTTTTTTTTTTTTTTTATATAAAAGAGCTCATAAACAACATTTTGCTTTTAGGGATGATTTTTTGAATTCTCTTATTAAACTGTTCTAAATTTGTCTAACTTTCAACACTTGCCAACCGGGCCTACATCAGGCCTTTCAGGTTTGTTTCAAAATTTTGGTGATTTTAAGATCAGTTTCTATAGAAACTTTTTTAATTCTGAGATCCGAGAATATTTCGACGATTTTTTTTAAACATTGTAACGTTGATTAATTTCATTAAAATAAAACATTTTAATTTTTTCCTGTCATATTATAAAGTTTCATTTTGGCAACTTATTATATAATATTTTAAATCTGAAAAATAAACAAGGTATAATACTATAAAGCACAATTTATGAAACAGCTCTCAGCAAAAGCAAAATTAGCTATGTAATTAATTAAAAATGTGTTCTTTTTAATTTTTTTTTGTGGTAAGAGTTTTTCCCATGTAATTGTCTCAGAATATGCATCAGTTTTCTGTATAAAATTAATTTTACACCTTTTTTCCTCCTTTTTTTTTCCCAAAATATTTCTGGCTTTTTGCTGTTACAGAATTGGTAAGGATAATTTTTCCTTAGTATTTTAGACATTACAGCTTGGAAAGTTTAGAAAGGTCTGAAGGCAAGATTTATAGACCCACAATTCTAGAAGATTCGAGAAATATGTGACAAAATGAAAAAATGTCTTCTATGATATTAACAAATATGGATGATGTATTTTAGCAGAAAGTTTGCGATGAATATTCTTACTTTTTGGAGAACGTTTTTGGAAGAAAAATTGAAAACATAATATTTGAAATGCTTTTACTTCCTGATACTAGAAGTCTTTTTATTAGCATGTTTATCTTCCCTTTATTTTCTCTACTTTTCCACTAGACACAAGCATGTAAAATATCAAAAATGCTTCTAATCTTGTCACATGGGCACAGGCAATTTATAGAAAGGGAATTTTTAATGTTAATAAGGGAGTTGAAAACTTACAATTTAAAAGCTTCATCAAATATATCTTAATGCATCATATGCAGAGCTGGCACTAGGCATTTTCCCATCTGATGCAATCTCTGTGGATCCTAAATTTGACTCCATAGTGCATTTCTAAATTCTGCTTCCAATCCTTGCTCTAAATTCTAAAAGTTATGACATTTCTAGATTTTGTTGCTCAGTGTGTCACTAAATTCTAAACATTCTGCCACAGCAGCTCTGTAACCGGCTTTTACCATATATATTTCATATTTCTTCTGAATGTTCACATTACTAAAGAAATAAAATTAGCCACTTTTTCTATACATTCTAAATGCATTTAGTTATTATTTAAAAAATATTAAAATTAGTGTTTTTTAGAATAACAGAAATCCCTAATTAAATTCTAAAATGAAAAGGAAACATACTGAAGAAAGAAACTGAATATGTAAAGAAAATTAATCTTTAAAGATATGTGCAGTTATTATTATGCAAATTACCCAATTCTTTATGATTTCAGCCTTTACTATAATTTCCCATTTGTATTTCCTCATATGATAGAGTTACTGAGCCAGATTAAATTGTATAATCTTTGACCTCTAGTCCACATTTTTAGTTTGAATTTGACTGTTCTTGTTTAATTATGCCACTGTGAACTATAATTGATTTTGTTAGCATCAGAACATGCCTTTATATTCGAAGTTCTTTTTAAAAAAAAAAGGCTTATTCAAACCTTTGTCTGATATTGAAGTTACTTTCAGACATAGCGATAATTTGCTTGACGTCTGTCGGGGGTTTTGGGCTATTTAACTTTTACTAGATCAAGTAAACCTTCCTAGCTACATTGTGGAAAGGTTGACAAGTTAGGAGATAAAGCACGCAGAAACTAGCAGGAGCATTGGTTTGCATATTGAGACAAATTTCTAATTGTTAGAAAAGATGCTTAAAGAGAAGGAAATTGATTATAAACTAGCTAAAATGTTTGGGAAGGTTTCAAATTAAAATGATGGATAAATATTTTGTTAAGTGTTGTTGTTACAAAATATAAACGTTTTGTAGCTTTTAATGTGTAATTATCGTAATATCGTTTAAGAATCAATGTCATAAATTACATGCATTTAAAACTGTGAAATTTTATTAGATTTTCATTTTAATAGGACTTTTTTTAACAAATATTGTTAAAAAATAAAATTTTTTAGTGACCATGTAAATCCCATAATGACTAAGATTATGATTACCTAATTTAATTATTATTATAACTAACTGCTTACCCATAAAAATATCTCTACAATAATAAAGTGAGTTATTTATTGCCCTTCATTAATACTCACTGTGGTCACAAGATAAAGCACAAAAATGTAAAAATTCAAGTAAAACTTTTTCTTTGCATCTAGTGAGACTTAAAATAATACAAAATAACTTATCATTTCTGGTGTTTTAAAAGGCTTATTGGAGCCTATAAAGTAGTATATTAACTGGGTTACAACCCCTGGAACTCGACACGAGGCTACAACACTAACTGCATCAAACAGGGCCTGACTAACTTTCAACGCTTGCCAACCGGGCCTACATCAGGCCTTTCAGGTTTGTTCTAATCAGCAGGTCTCTCTCTAGACAAGCAGCAACAGTTACAATATTCAGTCTTTCTTTATGAAACATGCTGATTGTGATCTTACTTCTCATTTTAACCTATGCCATTTGACATAAAATCTACCTGCTATTAACTAAATCTCTAGACTGACCAAATATGTGACAAAATGAGATATAAAAAAAATCAACATAAAGCTAACTGTTAGTAAATGTCACTTATCTTCTTTCAAATATGCCCAACTAGTGTATTTATTGCTACTTGATAAGTTGCATAAAGTTTATTTTATTCTCAAACTTATTAATAATTATGTTAATTAATTCATGTTTAATAATAACGCATATTACTTAGGGATGTATTTTATGTTTAGGATGGTATTACAAAAGTGAAATTCAGGCATAGATGGTATTTTTAATTGAATTTATTGTTTCCATTTGCTCATAGGTCCTTAATGTTTTTCATTAATGGTCCTTAAAAGTACTTAATTTTCGTGTTCATAAATGTGTACGAACCCTGGAGTAGTAATCACAATACACAAACTAAACGTCTATTGTTTTCCCTGTGCCCTAGTAGCAAAGACCTTCTATTGGGAGTTTCCATTAGAAATTCTTTGATAGTAACTTCCCACTTTTCTTTCTATGAGCTGTAACCTATTCCAAGGATAAATTCCTGAAATAACAAGATGGATACAGCGATGCGGTGTGTGTGGGGAGGTGTGTATTCTAAAAGGGAGCAGTGTAATTTTTATCTACACTATAGAAGTTATCAGGGAGATTTTGAGGGTCCTGTACATGCTTTTTGATGACTTAACTAGTGAAATCTGCTTAATTTTTCAGAAGGGATGTTAAAAAAAATAATAACTGAAAAAATTGACATTATTAAAATTTTTTAGTTGCATTAGAGCTTTCCGGTTAGTTGAATGATGGATAGTTGGGCTTTTGCTGCATTAATAAGTAAAAAGAATTTTCTTAATTAATGGGATGCAGTCATCAAGGAGGATAATACTGTATTCATATAATATGCTACTTTTGTAATGCTAGTACTATATCAGACATTTTGTTGAAGCATTAATTTAATATATCCAATTTATTTAATTATTTTTTTTTAATTTTTATTAAATTTATTTGATTTTAGCAAAGGGCTAAAAATAAATTCTAAGTATGTAAATAGTTGAATGGCACCTTGATGAATGCTTTAGAATAATGTTTTGGTAAATTGACTCAGCATTTCTAAGTGCATACCGTGGAACTTCCCAGAATGCAAGCAAAAGGAATCATGGACCTGTAAGGACTGTAAACAGTATGAAAGACCCAGTGCTTAAAATGGTAAAAGAAATTACCAAAAGGAAGGGTGTAGAATCATCTAGTGTGTGGAGTGTTATATATATTGACTCGTCAAACATAGATAAATTACTGTTTATTTATAAGATTAAACTAGATTACTTATACGTAGAGACATTGATGCTACATAGTCGGCGGCAAGTGACGAGAGTGATGCAGCACAAACACCGTGCACTTGCCTAGCTACAGCAAGGTTAGAGGCACTGCCATCTATTGGCTAGCACAGTAATAAATGTCTAACGTGGAGGAGCTATAAAAATAATAAATTAATCACTGAGACTGCAAATGATATTTATGAAAGGTTGTGTCTTGTGTCTGAAGTACAGAGTAGTAGAAATTAATGAAAGTAAAAATAGCAGAAATTAGTGAACATAGAAAAATTCTCTGTAGGTGTTCTACAGATATCTAGGGTATAGAATCATCTAGTGTGTGGAGGAGCTATAAAAATAATAAATTAAAGCACTGAGACTGC